CTAGTTCTTTGATATAACAAGGGGAATATGTTTAGTTTAGCCAGTCGAGCATCATACGGGAGCTTCAGTGTTTCGGAAATTATCTTATTTGTTGTTCTCTGAACATTTTGCAAAATCGTATTGTCTTTTTCTCAAGCAGGGGCTAGTCGTTTGTATGCAGTACTGAAGTTTATGTCTCACGAATTCTGTTTACGAGGTAAAGAAGTTTTAGCGCTGACATGACTAAAAGCCCTACATATTGCCTATAGGGTTGTAACACTTTGACGGCTATTTCATGGTAGCGTGCAGTAGCTTTTATTTTCAGTCAACGATGACACGCAAGTCATTGTGTGTCTGGATAAATATAGACTTTGATGTTTTCAGTTAGAGTTGTTGCGTAATACGTCAATGTGCATCTACAAACTTACCAGCTCATATGGGACAAATCAGGGTGGCCACACCAAGCGATCACTTTCCAAACACATTACGGAGCACTACCCAGCACGGCTTTTAAAAGGAGAATGCAAGACAGTTGCTAGTTCAATGCAGGAGCATTTATTCAACTATAGATACATCGCTCCAAAGGAGTCTTCTTTTAAATTAATCTACTCAATCAAAAGAATTGAATCGACTGTTGATGGCGAATAGTATGAATCAATAATATTTCGAAGTTTTCGTCAGCTGTTTACAACCAAATTTGCAATAGAATTTTTACATTGAGATAAGAAATAGTATGGAACAATAGACATAAATGAATGTAAATGACTGGAATGACAAAGGTTTACAACAATTACTGTATATGTATAAATATGCAAGAAAAGGTCAGAGGTTAATTAGTGTTAGAATTGAGAAAACAATTAAGGATGGGCGGTGTAATGGTTTAGTGGAGTTATAAATTGTGTGATAATTTTAGAGGTAGTGAAGGAATCATGGAAATAAGCGGTGATAAAACAGGTTACGTAATAATGGAATGGAATTTCAAAAGTTAACAGAGATTTAAGAGGGTGAGTGGGTGGAAATGTGTGAATGAAAAGTTGGTTTACGAGTTCGGTAATGGGAGAGGAGGGGAATATCAAACAAAAATAAGTGTTTTAAAAATAATTAAGATTATGCAAATAACCAACAAATAACATTAAAAAAAATTAAAAATGGATTACCAGGGTAATAGTAAGTTAACTACTCTCTCTTTCTGAATACATAAATCCGGTTTAAGTTTTCTTATCGCGATCGCTTCGGTAAAACGGAGAGCAATCGTACTTTTCTGTCTACTAATAATTTTAAAAGCTTCAAGTTTTTTGGAACATGCTTAGAAATGCGAACATGTACTCTTCTGTCAGTTCTTCCAATTTATGCGCTGTGGTACGTACACGTGAATTGGTAAATGCAATCGGAGCTACTGAGAAAAGAGGACTTGTCGATTTTAGTTTGAGAGAGCAGTCCGTTTTCCACAACGTCGTCAATTTAGCTGCCGGATAAGCCAATTTCAATGCGGAATTAATTCTGTGATTCATTATTCCGGCGACTTCATCTCCTTTAAAGCGCGAGTATAGGAAGCAGTTTTTGTTTTTAACTGTATTATGCTCAACCGAATGGTTGGTTTTTGCATGTTTGTGGATGAGTTTCTCCGCATATGCATTTTCACGTAGGAAATAGTGATTATAGCAATTTATTCTTCAAGGCATTCCTTTGAGCACATTTTGAGTGCGCGGTCAAAAAGGTTTCGTACAATGCCCTTTTAATAACTCATAGGACAGAAGCTGGTATAATTGAGATAAACTGCACTCCAGATATTTTTACGATGAATTTGTCTTTGTAATGTACCATATGATGTTCGTGTAATTCCAATATCTAGGAAATGGAATTTATCGTCAACCTCATGTTCCATATTAAATTTTATATCTTTGTGTGCTTTATTAAACAGACTGAGTAAGTTGATGGAGTGTTTGTGATTGTTGCAGACAAGGAACGTGTCATCAGTATATCTACAATAGAGTGTGGTACTATCGATTGCGTGCTTAAGTTTCTTTTGTTCCAGGTGTCCCATAAATGTCATCCATAATTGGGCTCAAAGGGATGCCTATTGCTACTCCATCAATCTGGCGGTATAGAACATTATTGAATTTAAATTGTATGTTTTTTGTGCACAAAAAACAGGAGCTGTTTAAATTCATGGATTGGTAAAAGCCGTAGTTTCGGATATTCACATATGATCTCTGCCGTTTTTTCCAAGAGGATATTTGTGAAGAGCGATGAGACATCAAATGAGACCATGGATTTATCATAAACTTTAAGGTTATCAAGTTTTTGTACAGACTTCTTCATGAAGTCTGTGCTGATGATGTCGTTCAGAAGAACGATGGAAGCTCTACGACCAAACCATCTAGCTCAGAGAACAAAACTCCACTAGAATCATCCACCTGAGTTACTAAGCTTTTCCACCTTCTCAAAGCTATCTTTCAAACTGTAAGTTGCTAGTTTCTTGCGGATTGGTTCTAAGCATCTAGTCAGCCAGCGGGAAAGTTACTTTAAACTGGATCTCAGTGTCTATTCTGTCGCGTTTTTTCGGGATATGAAATTTCAATCCAAGGGTGCCTCAGTTTCAATTATACTTAGCTTTTTACTCGATAAATTCTGTTTGTGTTTTCCTTGATTCGTAGGGAATGCCACATGATTTTGTTATTTTACAAGTGCTTTATTGAATGTATTCAAGAAATTATGACTGGTTTTAGACTGAATATCGCGAGTGAAATTAATGCGTTTAATACGACGTACAATATTTAAATCCATAACAATTTTGTTATAACCAAGGGATTCTATTTTAAGCTTAGATATAAGTCCTTGGTGCATTCAATTTGGGACGAAAAAATGTAACAGAACAGGCACTGATGGTTGATATTACGACGTTTACCATCTTAAATCTTGTTACTTTTCCAAATTCCATTCAATTCATACGTAACTTATTTTATCACCGCTTATTTCCATGACTCATTCACTACCTCTAAAATTATCACACAACTTATAACTTCACTAAACCATTACATCACCCATCGTGAATTGTTTCCTTAATTCTAACACAAATTAACCTTTGAACTTTACTTGCATATAAATGTATATGGTTATTTTTGTAATTTTTTGTCATTTCAATCATTTACATTCATTTATGTAAAGTGTTTCATGCTATTTCTTATCTCCATGTTAAATTCTATTACAAATTTGGTTGTAAACAGTTGAGCTTCGAAATATTATGAATACATACTAGTCTGCATCAATATTTATTCTTGCTTTATTTAAATTCATAAAAATAACTAATTGCATGGAATTCGCTCGAACGGAGGTTGGGTCGTAATCATAGGCACTGGCGATCCACCAAGTGAAGTCCAAATTTTGCATGTAAAACGATTCGTCTACCGTCCCATCCTTCCTTGTCCCTAATTCCCTTTATTGATATGCTTGAGTTTTCTCCCTTTATTCTTCATCTATATTTGATTATTATTGATTTATCTAAACTAGTGTTTTTGTAATTTTAAACTGTAATCAGGATGAAACGCCCATGATGATCAAGTAGACTTAATGAATGATATCGTGCATAATGATCAGATGAGTTCTGTGAATGAGCAACGCAAATTTATGTTTAACTGAATTGGTCTTCCAGTAGAAAAGGTTTATTTATTCAAAGGAATGTGAATTATACTAATGAATGATGATTGGGTAGTGATCAATATTATGCTTGTCTAATTCTTTACTGATCATCGAATCTTATCGATATGACCACTAGTGTAAGTAGTTGAGTTGCTAATTGGCTGGACTTTGTAAATAGAAAACCCTTCTTGACGCAAGTTTCATGCTGGCTAGCACTCGTCATCAAGTCTTACTTGTAATGTTTGGTGATAGTGATACGCTCGATAGAATTCGGCTTCAAATTTTTCAAAATTTACAATTGAGATATTCAGGTGACGAGTGATCTTCTGTGAAACTAAGATATTTGGAACTGATTAACGTCCAACATGCTGCTTATCTATTTCTTCAAGTATTGACGACGAACGATAAACATTTAGAGCAATTTGTTGGCATTCATTGATTTATACATCTAACTTCAGTAAACATTTCGTTTCAGGATGCACATTTCAGATTGCCATCCATGAATTCTGAGGTTCTTCAAGAAGCTTCATCTTGAAATTAGGAAGATAATTCTTTATTAAACATTTCGGCGGGGAAAATGTGACCAGAACTGACCTCGTGCTTAGCATAAGTGTCGTTGACAAACTCACATTCGTCGGAAAGGATGTGTTTTTTTTTCTAATCAACGTATCCTGATGAACGAGAGCAAGTAAGCTGAGCCATTCACCTCGAGAGAAATCAAAGTATCAGTTTATACCTGAAATATCCAAGAGTCAGATATGCAACAAAAAACAGAATCTCGAGTTTTTTCAAATAAATTCTGTTTACAGAAATCTCAACATTTGACTTTTAAGGATCTCTGTAAATATATCCCGTTTAGATCAAAATTTCATGAATAAAAACTTCTGTAGAACATCAGAGGTATTCCATTAAGTGGCTTCTTTGGAATTCTTGGCCCCACTTGCGAGTAGGAAGGGAAATCAAAATAGATCTTACATTCAATATTAATAGTCTAAGGACATAGTAAGATGGAGATAAGACACACTCCAGTTCATAAATAGTGAATAACATAAAGATGAAGAAATCTTGATAGATCTGAACGAATTCCATTATCAGTCTTAAAATCAACAAATGGATCCGTGAAGTCGGTCGTATCGACTAAATGTTCAAAGATAGAACCCCTATTTGTATCATACAAATTGATAGGAAAGAGATCTTTTCACTGAATTTAGTGTTTTCAATGTTTAAACTGATAATAATATACTGTTGTTCAGTCAGTAGATTGCCTGATATGACGTTTATATCTTGTTTGTATAGGTGCAACTCACCGGATGCTGGTAAATGGTCACAAAAGTTTGAATTCCGTCACAATTCTGGCTTATTTTAATGTAGATAATGGAATATTATGATTGAGAACTTTTAATGAGAAAACCTCCTCTTTTACAACGAGTTATAGAGTACCATTTATCCTGCAATAAATAATAAAACTTTAATTCGGAAAGTTAGTGATGACTATTCACTTAGTAGTTTGTGTCACAAGCTAATTTCAGTTCAACAGCCACTGAAAACTTAGAAGCATTAGACTTTTATTTGATCCAAGTATGCAATAAATCAGGCGTGCGCCATCATGACCTTGGCAATGATTATCAGACACACTGAACTACAACTGGTCTTAAGAAAGACTCCTTTTGAAGTCATAGTTGTTCATTCTTTAACAATTCCACATTACTACCAAATATCTCTTCAATAATGAATACTTTTCAATGTTTATGTAACCGAAAGTCAGTACAAGATCTGTGCTAAAACTAAACTTCATTCAAGTATACAACTTAATTAAGATATTCAACTATTTCAGAATACAATTCTGTCTTTGAACAATTCACTACTTCCATTTATTGTTAATATCCACTTGGGAATTCATTTCTCGTTACCATATCGTCTATCCATTTGCAGTCATTTCTGAAGACTGGATAAACCGTTTCATGAGTAAACTTGTTTCATAACTACCTAATGAAACACGTGTAACAATTTGAATTGCGCTGATATACATAAGAATCAACATAGACACTGTTTAATGAGTTTTAGTGCAGTTGTCTTATTGGCAAACAATGAAACTATTTCTTCTCTACTTCTGTGACATTGAACAATGATCTCCTCCTTCAAATATTCATTCATTCCAACTCACAGTGGATTACAGATTGTTCATTTCAATATTCCAGGTTGAATGTACATTATTCAATCAATTGTCTTATTATTATTATTCGTTTTGTATTGTTCGTTTGAGTCTTGCCATCGATGTTTGAAACTGCAAGTGATCAGTTTCGTATTGAGAAGATTAAAACAGACAATAGAAAAGAGAGTGTAAACTTCACCTGATTGTACAAGCAAGTGACTATCAGAAGTTATTAGCTAAGTCGATATCAAATTGACGTTTGACGCAAGTTCCAGAGTGAACAGTAAATCTGAGGTACCGGTACATCAAGCTGACGAGTTCCAAATAGGACAAAACGTGAGTCAAACTGGATCCCACTGCTAGTCACTATCGATCTTTGCCTATAAAGATTGAGACGTTTTAGATAATTCAACTTAGTCATCAGCAATAGAATGATGTTGAGTGACAAATTGTTCGAAACTATGAAATATGTGAATAACGTTAATAAGTGGTCATCTATTGGCTAGTGAAACGTCTGTTAACATTAACATAGTCGATACATGACGGCTTATCATCCACTTGATGAATCTGATGGATGGATTGAATAAATGAATAAATAGGTAAAACTACATAGTTAGTGAGCATCCAAATTTATGAATGAGTTATTATTATTGTTTTTAAAGTGATTGTTTATCAAATCACTTTAGTCCTATTCTATGTAAACGGACGGTAGGTAGTTAATGACATGCCCCTTCAGACAAATTATGAAAACAGTTGCACACTTTCCAACAGGATAGTGTATTGCGTTTGATCGATTTTCTTGAATTCGCTTAATAATACAAAGGCCTATAAATAGTTTGCATTCAACAATAAGATTTGATAAGCTGAGAATTCTGTCCGATACACACACAACATCAACGTCTATCACTTCCTACACAATTTCCAAAGTAAAATTTATGATTTCTTATGTTCAGTGTAAATTATTTGAGTATTTAGTTAATGAGCATATTTCTTTTGAACTCAAGTGTCTACACAAACATCATTTATTATACTTTATTGTTTTTGTCTATCACCTCACTATATCTCTTTCTTCAAACAATATGGTATTCTCTTTACTGTATGCTGTATAGTGGGCGTAATAAGAATTATAATTAGAATAGAACTTATCGCATTCCAATGATGTGCTTATGTGACTTACCTTCACCTACATACAATCACGGAACTAAAATGAGTGAATTTCTTAAATATAAAACGGAGTGAAAACAAATAATTTGGCTGTGAATTCATAGAAAGTCTCACTCTAACTATGAATGAACACTGTGACCATTTGCCATCTAATTTCAGGTGACTTTAGTCGTCGTTTACCTACAGAATCATTTGGTTTTCACGTTCTTTAAAATTAACAGAATGAAATATTAAGAGTATTGACTGAAATCAAATTAGTGAATAACTATTGTATGGTGGTAAATAATTTGATCACCCCAAAATTTATAAGTGTGGGGCTATGGAGATTGTCATATTTTTGATTGAGATCATGAATCGATGAATGTCATACCACCATTGAGAACCTGGAATCGTCAATCGGTCATCTCGACACAGTACGGAGCTCACCAGCAGTGTGATTTGAATCCCGGACTATCGGTCATACGTGCAAACACTTAATCTGTATACCATTGAGTCGGCCGGCATCCAACGGTTTTAATGTCTAATTTTAACTAATCCACGATATTGTGCGACTGTCCACCATTACTCTCAGTGAGTAAGTGCATTGCAATACACAAGGATGAAATTCACTGATCACGACTTCTCACTAGAACTCTATCGAATCCATGTTGAAACCAATTACATGTCATCACATGAAGTGGAGTCCCATATAAGGACGAAACGGTTGTACGGTGCATTCAGGTTTTCAATGTTGGTCAATTTTTGATCTACTCGTGAATTCAACTAATAAATTACTTCAATCTCCATAAACCCACATTGTTGTACGTTGATTTTGAATCGGTAAAATCAAGAAATTGATGGTTATTAATCATCCTCAAATTTTTCTCTTACTCCTTGGTTACCACGTAACCTCATTTGGTAATTACAGTCTCAAATCACTTTATGACGCAATCTCTTCTATCCTTCTATTAATATACATTTTCCATATAACGAATGTATAGCTTGAATAAGTGATTTTGTCTAAAGGTAAATTTCCGTCGCTCAATTCTCCTTAATATATTTACTCAATGGCGTACCGTGTTATTTTTTTTATTTCAAGAATATTTCTTATTATTAAATTATAACACTGACGAAAACTTTCAGCCTCTTAATTGAATGAGGCGATTCAAGAGTTGTGAAATCAGTCCTCATCCTATTCAAAAAGTATAAATTATTACTATTGTTAGCAGTGTGATTTGAATCCCGGACTATCGGTCATACGTGCAAACACTTAATCTGTATACCATTGAGTCGGCCGGCATCCAACGGTTTTAATGTCTAATTTTAACTAATCCACGATATTGTGCGACTGTCCACCATTACTCTCAGTGAGTAAGTGCATTACAACACACATGGATGAAATCCACTGATCAAAGATGCTCTCTAGAACTCCATGGAATCCGTGTTGAAAGCAGTCCCTAGTCATCACATGAAGTGAATATCAGCGGATAAGATAACAATAATTTCATCATAGAATGTCAATGTTTGGAGAGTATTTGACAGACGATTTATATCAGATATATGAAATGAACAATAATTTGAATAAACGGCGAATCCTTTTTGAAGCAGATGACGTAAGGAAGTAGTTAGTCACTAATCATGATACAATTTATGAAAACCAAGAATATTGAAATCAATTAAAAAAATTCTAACAATTTTTACATCATTGACTACATCACAGATCAATTTATGGAACATGGCTAAAGAATAACATAAACCGAGAAAACGGAAGTAGAATTTGGGTCAACCACAATCAACGGCTACTAACCTAAGCCTCTTACTCCTCATAGAGGAGCACAGGCCCCTCAGCAGCAAAATACATCTAAACCTGTCCTAGACAATCCTTTCCAGCTCCGTCCAGTTCCAATTCATTCTTTTTCATATCTGCTTCTATTATCCGACGCAATGTGTTCTTTGGCCTTCCTCTTTTTCGCTTTCCTTCAGGATCCCAAGTTAGGGCTTGCCTCGTGATGCAGTTTGACGATTTGCGTAATGTATGTCCTATCCATTTCCATCGTCTTTTCCTAATTTCTTCTTCAGCTTGAAGTTGGTTTGTTCTCTCCCACAGAAGGCTATTGCTGATGGCTTCCGGCCAATGGATGTTGAATATTCTGCGTAAACAGCTATTTATAAATTCTTGTACTCTCTTGATTGTGGTTGTTGTAGTTCTCCAAGTTTCAGCTCCATACAGTAGAACTGCATTGACGTTGGTATTGAATTTTCTCAATTTGATATTGGTTGAAAGTTGTTTTGAGTTCCATATGTTCGTTAATTGTAGGAATGCTGTCCTTGCTTTGCCAATCATTGCCTTTACGTCTGCATCTGAACCTTCTTATTCATTGATGATGCGTCCCAGGTACATGAAAGTTTTCACATCTTAGAAAGATTCTTCACAAAGTATGACTGAGTGGTTGTCCTCCGTGTTGCATTTGACGATGTTGGATTTTTACTTGTGTATGTTGAGATATACTGATGCAGAGACTGCTGCTACACTGGCTGTCTTTAACTGTTTCTGTTCGTGTGTACGTGTTAGGAGTGCTAGGTCATCTGTGAAGTCCAAATCGTCTAATTGATTTCGAGCTGTCCATTGAATTCCATGTTTTCCTTCAGATGTCGAGGTCTTCATAATCCAGTCGACCACCAAAAGAATGAGGAAGGGAGAGAGTAAACAGCCCTCTCTGACTCCGGACCTCACTTCGAATGCATCTGTCAGCTGTCCTCTATGCACCGATTTGCACTGTAGTCCGTCTGGTGAGTTCCGGATAATGTTGACAATCTTCTCAGGAACTCCGTAGTGTCGAAGAAGTTTCCATAATGTCCTCCTATCTACACTGTCGAATGCTTTTTCATAATCAATGAAGTTGATTTATAGTGATGAGTTTCACTCAAATAATTGTTTAACGATGATCCGTAGTGTCTCAATTTGGTCTCTCTATAAACGATCCTTACGGAATTCAGCCTGTTGATCTCGAAGTTGGGCGTCTACTGCCTCTTTCGTTCGGTTCAGCAACACTCTTTTAAAGACGTTCCCTGGTACTGACACTAGTGCGACGCATCTGTAGTCCTCACATTTGCTCAGATCTAGTTTCTTTGGTATCTTGATGATTTATCTTTCTTTTCAGTCCGTCGGTATTTCGTTCTCCTCCAAATTCTTCTTCATTAGAAGGCGGGGCATATTCGCAGTTACTTCAATTATTCAGCTGGTATATTGTCAGGTCCTGCAGCTTTTCCGCTCTTGATTTGTCTGATAGCTATTCCGGTTTCTTCGATTGTTCGTGGAGTGACATCTATAGGTAGGTCTGAGCGTGCATCTCTGATGTCCGGTGGATTCAATAGAGCTGGTCTATTCAACAGTTACTCAAAGTACTCTACCTATCTATTCCTCGATTCCTGAATCTTGATGATTGTTTTACCTTCTTTGTCCGGTCTCTCTTGTTTGGTATATTTTCCTGCTATTTTCTTCGTTGTATCGAATAGTTGTTTCATATTTCCTTCTCATGCAGCCCTTTATACCGTCATTAATAGTTCTTCCTAATATTTCTACTTGTCAAATTTAATGCTCTTTCTCACTTGCTTGTTTGCTTTTATATACTCAGCTTGTGTCTTGACTATATCTGCTCGTGTTCGGCTGTGATTAGTTGCTATGTTCTTATTCTTCCTTACTTCAAACTTTTCCAGTGTTTCTATTGTGATCCATTCCCTATAATGATGCTTCTTGCCGCCTCCTGACACCTCTTAACACGTTGACGCTAGTGTTTCTTTCATACTTTTCCAGTTGTCCTCCATCCTCAACAATCCTTCTTTACTCGATGTTGGAAGCGTAAGAAATTGTAGTGCTTGGAACCTGTCGTTGAGAGCTAGTTCGAATTCGTTGAATTTGTCAGTATTTTGATGGAAGGCTGTATTATACCCCTTTAGTGCTGTTTGTCCAGTTGTCCATTTCTTCTTTAGTTTCAGGTTTAAATTGTCCACAAGTAGGTGGTGTGATCTGAAGCTATGTCAGCTCCTCTCCTGGTTCTCACATCTTCCATTGTCCTTCGGAATTTTTAATGATGCGAATGTGATCTATCTGGTTCTCTGTGGTGTGATGCGGTGCGATCCATTTAGCTTTGTGTATAAACGTGTGTGGAAATACTGTGCCACCCATGACCAAGTTGTTGAATGCACACAGATTTGCAAACTTCTAAACAATTTCGTTTCTCTCTCTCAGTCAATCCATGTCATCTCATGTTATCTTCATATCGGCTGTTATCTATTCCGACTTTAGCGTTTAGATCTCCCATTAAGATAGTGAGGATTTTTCTTGAGCACTTTGCTATGGTTGACTGCAGCCTATTGTAGAACTGATCTTTATCGTCGTCGTTGCTATCATCGGTAGGTGCATATGATTGAAAAGTATTCATCGTGATCCCGTTCTTATTTGTGTTGATTGATGCTTTCTTGATTCTAGATCCGTGAGATTCCCATCCTACAAGTGCATTTCGTGCTACTTTGAAAAGCAACTCCTCTTTGTGTGTGGAGCATTGTCCTCTTCGTGACCGTATTGTAGCAGCATTTCTTCCGTGTCTAGCTATTATTGTTCAGCTTGGCAGTAATAGGTTTTGCTGTTTCCCAGTATTTCCAAATTTTATCTCTTCATTTGGTCTGCCATTTGACTGTTCTTTCCGGTCTCTCACATTGTCCGGACGTTCCATGTACCTATAACACCTGTGGCTCTGGTTGTTAGAATCGGCATCTGCCTAGTGACTCTTGTAGGAACTTGGTTTTCATTATGAGGCGTCACAGTTCTTCCAATAGGAGACATTCTTACTCCTAGGACAGAGTTTAAATGATTTGAATTAATTTTTCTGGTTAGTATTTTTCTGGCGAGTTAGTTTTCTACGGGACGGTGTCACTAACCGCATGCCCAATCATTCGCTTTTACCCAGGCTTGGGACCGTCAGTAAATCTAGAAGAGCTACAGGCTGGGTTACAAATAATGGTAATCGCTTTTAAATCTGATGAAAGTTTATTCGAATTACTCTGAAGACAGATCTCCCATAAGTCATCTTCGCCGAACACTTATGAACATTGAACGTGACTCGGAATATCTTCAGCTTCAACTGTGTTGCGCGTTTGCCTCAATAAACGGGAATTCAATGTCGAAGACTGAAATCTTATCCCATCATAGCACTTAACACAGAGAGCCATGAAAGTTTTAATCAAAGCATCAAAATCTCCTTTGAAAGCTATTGAGGGCAAATTATGTTAGTGCTCCTCTAAATACAAAATTCGAATAAAATGATTGATGGTATACTGCCTGCGTCAACAATGGGATCGCGGAATGAACAAAAAGACATATTTAATTTCTCTCACATGCGGCAAGCGCACTGAAGATCGTAGATAAAAGCAAAATGTAATCATAAAAGGCTCTAAACATATTGGAATTTAATAATGGGGTCTGGTATCATCAATAAGTCCAAAATATCGACATTATGTATCCAGTTTTGTAACAATTCAGGATCACAAAGTATATATGAGTTCCGAGTATGCAGTTTGCCACAGGACAAACATTTATTAATCCCTGTCAACCTATTTATGGTGTATTGAAGCTGTGTGTAGAAGTTAATGAATACCCATGTTGATAGCTTAGAGGATGACGCGACGATTTTCGAAGTAAACAATACTGAGTACGAATACCACAGTGACACATCAACTCTGATGTAAGTGTAGGCAGGTGACGAGTCTGCATTCTTATCCCTTCAGAAAATTTAACATAAGCAGCTATGACATTTTTATTTAAAGCATCGTAATCTTCATTGAAAGCTAGTGGGAGAAATTGCAGTTAATGTCTTTCCAAAGATAGTTTTCAGTCCTAAATCTAAAAGCGACTTTTATGTTTACCATTGCAATCTTTTGACGATCATTCCTCATACTAACATACTTACGCCTGTTACTCCACGTGAACGAGCATAGGCCGCTCATCAGCATTCTCCATCCAACCCTGTCCTCAGCAATCCTTTCTAGCTCCGTCCAGTTCCAATTCATCCTTTTCATATCTGCTTCTATTATCCGACGCAATGTGTTCTTTGGCCTTCCTCTTTTTCGCTTTCCTTCAGGATCCCAAGTTAGGGCTTGCCTCGTGATGCAGTTTGACGATTTGCGTAATGTATGTCCTATCCATTTCCATCGTCTTTTCCTAATTTCTTCTTCAGCTTGAAGTTGGTTTGTTCTCTCCCACAGAAGGCTATTGCTGATGGTTTCCGGCCAATGGATGTTGAATATTCTGCGTAAACAGCTATTTATAAATTCTTGTACTCTCTTGATTGTGGTTGTTGTAGTTCTCCAAGTTTCAGCTCCATACAGTGTCGAAGAAGTTTCCATAATGTCCTCCTATCTACACTGTCGAATGCTTTTTCATAAGCAATGAAGTTGATTTATAGTGATGAGTTCCACTCAACTGATTTTTCGACGATGATCCGTAGTCTTGCAATTTGGTCTGTGCATGATCGATCCTTATGGAATCCAGCTTGTTGATCTCGAATTTGGGCGTCTACTGCATCTTTCATCCGGTTCAGCAACACTCTGTTGAAGTCTTTCCCTGGTATTGACAGCAGTATAATGCTTCTATAGGTTTCACATTCGCTCAGAATTCCTTTCTTTGGAATCTTGACGAGGTGCCCTTCTTTCCAGTCCTCATATTTCCGACTATTAATGGATCAGTAACACTGCAGTAAGCTTGTTTTCAAAATCTGTCATCTTTTGTAGCAATGGTTTGACATAACTGTTACTAATTGCTTGAACCTATATCTTTCCTCAATATTACTTGAGTATCAGCTCAACCTTAGAGAATTATTTTATAATCAGCATTCATAACACCTAATTAGCAATAGTCTGTCATCAGGCTTATACCAAACAGTGAATAATCGAATAACGGCGAAATAAGATGCCTCGTTAAATGTTAGTGCGGTATTTCGACATTTCAGTTTCAAACAACGAACATCGACAATTTCAAATGACATTTTTCAGTGGTGAGACTTCATCAAACTGAACATTCACAACGAATTCATTGTTGATTGAAGTTGTCACATAATCAGGTATACAGAATAATGTTGATTCACAAGTGCAATGTTGTAAGCTCTTGTAAAACCAACTAGTTTTTCTGAATGAAAACAATCATGTATATACAGAAAACTATATTTTAAATTCTACAAACAATCATGAAGGTTATGTGTATTTCTATGACACAATCTTCAATTTATTGAAATGATTAACATAATCAAAAGTGTTTTAATCAAATGAAAAATGAAAATAACAGAGTCAGCATGATGAAAACAACCAATAAGAAGGCGTTTGTGAGAACCATGGCATACCTTTCTTCTTTCTGTAAAACCATAACCATATGACACATCCAATGCATACGACTATCAATGTGACAACTACTGGTACGATAATATACGAGTAATTGAGAGACTTTCTTTGTCCGTTATCTTCAGTCATTTCTGCTGTAGTTGTTACTTCTTGTTCGACAGTTGTTGGTTTACTCGAAACTTTGACATTCGGGATCGTCTGAAGAACAAAGCAGTGGCAATTATACTAAATATCAAATATTATTCAAATAATTCATCACTCATTCTACACTATTGTCAGTATTGATGACATAAATGAATTCAATAAGGAGTTGCATATTCTTCATTTACAAAATGTGATTATTGAACAATGATTAAGAATATCTGCTAACGGTTTGTCAGTCAATGTGATAAGTACACGTTATTCTACAACTAAGCGACGATTTATATATGTGTGAGGAAATTTTGTTCCTGGATGTCACATCTAACCATGAATCAACAGACTTAAAACATATAAAGTTATTCAACCAATTCATTCATGATACACAGTTCTCATCAATGAATCAGAAAATCGTGTTCTGGATTTGATCAATGGGAATCTACAAACTTTTGCTAATCATGCTAAATAATTTTAAACAGATCACGCTTAATTAATCAAACTGATTTCATCGGTATTTTTCAACAGTTTTCGTAGACATACGGTTTCATATTAGACATCAAGAATCATTTCGCATTCTATGAGCTGAAAAATTAATATGTTTCCAGGCATTAATGTTAAACAACGGTTCTATTCATTGTTGAATGTTTACTAGGAAACAAAGCATTGTACTCATGTCCGATTAAGTATCGTGAACGTATACAATGCTTTGATTTATTCATTGAGGGAACAATACAAATCACTAGTTATTCATAGAAATAAAATATTCTTCCGAGTTAATATTTACAAAGTGGAATATGCAGGTTCATTGGTGAACAGGGTGGATCTGATGCAGATGTAAGGGCGCGGATCGGTAAAGCAACAGCAGCATACTTAAAACTTAAGAACATCCGGAACTCAAAACAACTCTCAACAAACACCAAGGTCAGGATATTCAATACAAATGTCAAGACAGTTCTACTGTATGGGGCAGAAACGTAGAGAACTACGAAAGCCATCATCCAGAAATTACAGGTGTTTATTAACAGTCGTCTATGCAAAATACTTCAGATCCGTTGTTTTTATAAAATGAAAGAGGAAAATAACAGTCAGCTTGATGAAAACAACAAATAAAAAAGCGTTTATGAGAATCATGGCATGCTTTTCTTCTTTCTCTAGAAGCATAACCCTATGACACATCCAGTGCATAGAGCAATGAGAGTGACAACTACTGGCACTATAATATACGAATAATTGCGAGACTTTCTTCCCTCTACGTTTTCATTCGTTACTGTGGTCACGTTCTGAAAAAGCAAAACAGTACGATAATTACGCAATATCAAATATTTACCAAATGAGTTTCAAAGTTTTCAGTTGTCTGCCACAATTCACTTCTTAAGTCAGCTTCATTTACTGTTGAAGTTGTTTCTTTTTCTTCGATCAGTGTTGTTTCACTCGAAACGCCGATAATCGCGCTATTCTGTAGAATGAAGTAAAGGCAAGATAACCAAATATTAAATATTTCATCATTCAATATACAGTATTTTCAGTATTATTGACACAAGTGAATTCAACTAATAGTTGCATAATTTACTTTTGTACAGTGTGATCAATGAGTAATGACTTAAGATATCTGCTATCGATTTGACAGTCGATGTGATAAGTACAAAATATCCTATAATCAACAGACGACTAATATTTGTGTGGTGACTTTTGTTTCCTGGATGTCTTATCTTATCACAATCCGAATATTCATCAACAAACTTACAACTGTCGATTTTATTGATGCAGTTCATACAGGATACACATTCCTAGACAGGGAATCAGAAATACGTATTCTGAATTTGAACTATGAGAGTTTTGGGAACTTGCACTAATCACTCAATCATGCTACACAATTTTCAACAGATTACGCTCTATCATTCAAACTATTTTCATCGATATGTTTCAACAGTGTCCGTAGATTTACGGTTTCATATTGGACATCGGAAATCTGTTCACATTCTATGAGATGAAAGTTTGATATGTTTCCAGGCATTAGTGTTAAACAATGCAATAAAATGTTCTTCGGAGTAAATAGATTTAAAAACATGCTGATACTGAATGCAACTTGTGAAGTTTACCGATTACTTACTTTATTCCTGCAACCATTGACTTTGAATTTTTGAGTATCCTTATCATTACTGGTAATGCACATATTGGCATGTTCACACCACATACACATTGTGTTCGATGTTTTTGCACCTTTACATGCTTCACTTGAATTGTGATTTGGACAATCTATGGTGAAAACAATAAATCAAGGAATGATTTTCTCAGTTATCAAAATGTTATTTCAATAGTCTAACACATAATGAACTGAACAACGTTTGTGGTTATACACTTAAGTATTCACGAGAAAGAAAACGTATCCATTCGATGAAAATCGTCAGTATTTTCGATACTGTATTAATATCTCCTGACAATGATAAATTAAGATCCGACACGTAACCTGTATATACCTTCAATTTACCGGTCGGTTAGGATAAAGTAAAGATTCTGAAAATTATGCAATCACATTCAACATATTCAAAATTTCATAGTGTTTTTGTGATTCCAACACCTCGTGGAAATTCACTATCATAAGTCCCAAATGAAAAAAAATAAATGACACTGACAAGTCAATGCCAAATCAACTAACTGACTTATGTCATCTGATCTATCGATTTTGGCATTTTGTCGAAGTAAATTTCATCGAAGTGAGGACTTTTATCGTGGTTCGAAATGTCTCTCTAACCATTTTCATTATTCAACAGTGAATAGACGTGTGATGTGACGAGAGTTCAGACTGATGATTAAATATCATTTAATGACTGACTGAAATTATATATGAAATTTTCAATTTTATGAAACAGAAATTGTGCAACCAAGTGTAAGAATAGTCAATTCTGATAAAGTGAAGTTTAACTTACCCCCAGAAACTTCATACTCTACCAAAATTCCAGTTTTGATCCGTTCTCCAATAACAGTAATAATAGGATATATCGGTGCTTGTTCATATAAGGTTTACACAAGAAGACGATTATAATATTGGTTTTCATTTTATGTATAACAACGTGTTTGCTCATATAAGGAGCAATCAAAATAAGAAAAAGTTTAATATCTTATCATGGATACAATAATGATCAAATAGCTTCTTCAAGAAATATGCTTTAAAATATGCTTCCTTATGTATTGAGTAGTATAAGAATAAGGACTACAGGTTTGACCAATTGAACAGTGGGTGTGTGAATAAAATGATGAATGTATCATCTATCTCATTTGATCGTTCATATATCCTTGTCTGGATCAGTCAATCGGCAAACATATGCAAAGTATTCCTGCAAATATCCAATGACTGTTTATCTCATGTGACATATGTTGAAATACAGAAAGTAAGTTACAAAAAGAAAGTAACATTAGTCTAACAGATGTTTGTTCATGTATTTCAGTGTAAATCAGAATATAAATGACATTTGTTACCTTCTACTTCGCAAGGGAATCGACCGTAAACACTCGATGACGTTTCATTTATCCCGACTTCCTCAGGAACCTGAAAAAATTTGATGAATGTCTGAGTCAAAATCTGTCAACACACTAACATTTATCACAAAATCAACCAACCATTGAAGTAATGTGTCGTCATTCACATTATCTTATACAATGACAATTATCACACTCACAGTAAGCATACTGATCGTCTCAGTTCCCTTTGAACTATGTTCCATCTAGTCTATAAACATATTCTGAATCACCTCAGTTGTGAACTACAGAGAAGTTAGATGAACGATCTATCTATCTATCTATCTACCATCGAATGAGGCGATGTATTGTGAGATGAGTATCCACGTCAGTTGATAGAAATGTGATTGTGAATAACTGCTGTTGTTGCACGTGAATGTGTTTTCATGTGGTGTGATTGTGTTGATGTGCTCATTTCCATCCATTAGCGTTCATTTTCATGGTGAATGCTTTCCATAATCTGTTGTGATTACCTGGCAACAATGAAAACTGATTCAGTTCAACACAGATGACACCTTTCATCTTACAAGCCCATCCTGTCTGCCTGTATTCCGAATGGGTGGATTAATGAAGTCTGACATTAGAACAGTTACACACTGAGAAACAATCAATATTTGAACAATTTATTACATAGATTATTCAAGGGGAAATATTTCAAACATTTGATCTTCAGAAGACGCAACGAAGCTTGACAATATAGTATTGTTCCTTTGTAGTGTAGTGTGGACTACTTATATACATATAAGAAAAAAATGACTTTAGGCAGAAACAGAATGCCTGGCAGCAGAGAGACAAGAGGATCGAACAGTCAAGATTGAAAAACACAGAATGCAATTTGTATGAAAATGGAAGAACATTGAAGTGTGAGTCATTTTAAGACAATTGATGAACATTTTGCAAAATAAGCATTTACTATATAATTGTTAGTTTTTATTAACAAGTTCTGTAATTTCCTATCAAATTTATTCGATTGCCCTCACTCATGTTCTTGTTCATTACAGTAGTACCCTAACCTACACTGTTTGTACATAGTCGGCACGAAGACACCAGAATTTCTTCAATTAACTTTTTATCATTCACTCTTTTATAAAAGCGCTAGAATAAAGTGTGTCACAAAATGATTGTTTGTTAATAATTTCATATAGTCAGTATGTGTAACGACAAATATTGACCTCTGTCTGTCGTGTTTAATGTATCTTGATGCATTCGACTGTATTGAATCGCATTAAACAGTGGAATAATCTGAAGTACTTGATATAAAACAACTGTAATATTCAATTGTGTGACTTACGTTCTCATAATAAAAAGATATCTTCCCGTTCGGGCGTATGAGATATAACACCTTCAATGTAACATCTGCAACAAGAAAACTGTCGTTATTTAATATTTCAGAAATTTATGATGAGCATGTCATTGTCAGATGCGACATTGTATGTTTCTACCCACACATTTTTCAAATTTAGGCAGATATTTACCGTGTTATCCCAAATGATTTCCTTAGTTGAATTCGAAGAAAATATAACTTCATGAACGTCATGCAACTCCGTCTGCAGCTATCCTACAATTACTTACGCTTCCAACACCGAATAAAGAAGGATTGTTGAGGATGGAGGACAACTGGAAAAGTATGAAAGAAACACTAGCGTCAACGTGTTAAGAGGTGTCAGGAGGCGGCAAGAAGCATCATTATAGGGAATGGATCACAATAGAAACACTGGTAAGTTTGAAGTAAGGAAGAATAAGAACATAGCAACTAATCACAGCCGTACACGAGCAGAGATAGTCAAGACACGAGCTGAGTATATTAAAGCAAACAAGCACGTGGGGAAGAGCATTAAATTTGATAAGTAGAAATATTAGGAAGAACTATTAATGACGGTATAAAGGGCTGCATGAGAAGGAAATATGAAACAACTATTCGATACAACGAAGAAAATAGCAGGAAAATATACCAAACAAGAGAGACCGGACAAAGAAGGTAAAACAATCATCAAGATTCAGGAATCGAGGAATAGATAGGTAGAGTACTTTGAGTAACTGTTGAATAGACCAGCTCTATTGAATCCACCGGACATCAGAGATGCACGCTCAGACCTACCTATAGATGTCACTCCACGAACAATCGAAGAAACCGGAATAGCTATCAGACAAATCAAGAGCGGAAAAGCTGCAGGACCTGACAATATACCAGCTGAATAATTGAAGTAACTGCGAATATGCCCCGCCTTCTAATGAAGAAGAATTTGGAGGAGAACGAAATACCGACGGACTGAAAAGAAAGATAAATCATCAAGATACCAAAGAAACTAGATCTGAGCAAATGTGAGGACTACAGATGCGTCGCACTAGTGTCAGTACCAGGGAACGTCTTTAAAAGAGTGTTGCTGAACCGAACGAAAGAGGCAGTAGACGCCCAACTTCGAGATCAACAGGCTGAATTCCGTAAGGATCGTTTATAGAGAGACCAAATTGAGACACTACGGATCATCGTTAAACAATTATTTGAGTGAAACTCATCACTATAAATCAACTTCATTGATTATGAAAAAGCATTCGACAGTGTAGATAGGAGGACATTATGGAAACTTCTTCGACACTACGGAGTTCCTGAGAAGATTGTCAACATTATCCGGAACTCACCAGACGGACTACAGTGCAAATCGGTGCATAGAGGACAGCTGACAGATGCATTCGAAGTGAGGTCCGGAGTCAGAGAGGGCTGTTTACTCTCTCCCTTCCTCATTCTTTTGGTGGTCGACTGGATTATGAAGACCTCGACATCTGAAGGAAAACATGGAATTCAATGGACAGCTCGAAATCAATTAGACGATTTGGACTTCACAGATGACCTAGCACTCCTAACACGTACACACGAACAGAAACAGTTAAAGACAGCCAGTGTAGCAGCAGTCTCTGCATCAGTATATCTCAACATACACAAGTAAAAATCCAACATCGTCAAATGCAACACGGAGGACAACCACTCAGTCATACTTTGTGAAGAATCTTTCTAAGATGTGAAAACTTTCATGTACCTGGGACGCATCATCAATGAATAAGAAGGTTCAGATGCAGACGTAAAGGCAATGATTGGCAAAGCAAGGACAGCATTCCTACAATTAACGAACATATGGAACTCAAAACAACTTTCAACCAATATCAAATTGAGAAAATTCAATACCAACGTCAATGCAGTTCTACTGTATGGAGCTGAAACTTGAAGAACTACTGATACACATTGACACAATATTATCTATAATTACTCATGAAACAATTGACTTCAAGTACACATGACGTGAGCCGCGTAGTGTTTGTTTACAAGAGATCTTGTCAATTTAATTTTTCGTGTAACACATTGGCGAATAATTCGATCAAATGACTCTGATCACAATATTTGTTAAAGATGAGAATCGAATAGCCTTATATATGTCGTCTTTACAATCTCATTATTCATAAGAATAATATCTTAGAAGGACTGTGTAATGAGTAAATGTTTAAATGAGTGTGATGTTCACAGAAATCGATTTCCAATGCACACAGATGTACCTATTTTTATAAACAGACTTCTCATCATGTTTCTTTATAGCCTGTCAACGAAAATGAATCTCTGTATTCGTCTGTTCACAGGTGAAATTACATTGTGACTTGATTTATCCACAATGATCTATTTAATACTCGTCAAATCTAGTATGTTCGTGCTGATTTCAACTGTTCTGTATGTCTTAATCAATGTCTTTAAACAATCAGTGGATTCCGTTAGGAGTTTCTGTCATATTTTTCAGAATGTTTACGAATTATTATTTCAGTAAATTTTTGAAAAAAAATTCAGTTACGCCGTGGTAAATAGAAATGTGAGAGTAATTACAAGGAATCATCGTGTAATTGTTAATATGTCACATATGTCTAAACAATCATTTAATGGATACATACATTTACCATCAACATCTCAGTGTAAAGTGCTTCGGACAGCTAGTAAATCATCTGAAATAGTGAAAGGCAATATACGTTGTGTTTATATATCTGCATTCTGAATAAGCGATCCTTTTCAACAAACATGCATTTCAACACAGAATGAGTTTGAACACCACCTATCATCTTCTTTTCAACATTTAAGTGAACTGGTTTAAGTAAATGAAAGTTTGAAGGATCCTTATCACTATTATTGTTATTTCAACGACGAGATGATCATTTCAATACCAACAACTGAGAAGAATATCTTACTTCTAAAACGTCAGTTCCAAACGTTTTTGGTTAACTAAGATATCGTTGATATGCACATACGAAATTATTTTCTGAGATCGTGTTATTCCAATGAATCAGTGTTTTTTCTATTTACCTAGCTAATATGCAGAAATGCTACTCCAATGTCATTAATCTTGATAACTGAGCGAGTGAATTAACTTCATTTTTATGTTCTCGGTGTTCTGGTTTGAATCAACCATACTGTAATAGCAGGTTGTCAATGGTTTTCCGTTGACTAGATGTTTAAGAAAGCGCATGAGTTCGGACTTCATGATCATACGGATGTGATAATCAAGAAAATGTGACAAGAGGCACTAAACTTTCAAGAATTAAGTAAGTGACAAAAAAGATTTAGTGGACATCGCACATAACATCACAATTCATATGCTTCTGTGTTGCAAACTGATTTTCCACACAACATTGCTTATTGTTGTAGCTGTAGTTTGAATCAATTCATTGAATCTACCACGAAGTGTCACAGTGGTGAGATATCTTTTTTATGGTAGCTCGAGCAGATAGTAGAGCAGATGGTTTTCACTTGAGTGACTGCATCATTAGATTTGTTATCGCTGTTTTATTTAACGTTTTCATTGGACAGTAATACGTGCTGTGAACACATTTTAGGCTAGCAAATCACAGAAACAAAACGATCACTGTGTACTGCTGAGCTCTCATGAAATAACCAAGTTAAGTAACGAATCGTTTACGCAAAATGGAAAGTGAGAAATAAAAATCAAAACAAATCATCATTGAATGATATAATAACTCACTCTTATTTGAAATCTCAAGTGCAGACAGCGCACCCTCTTTTAAGTAGGTGGAAATTATTCCTATTTCCTCTTCTGCTTTCATTTCTATTACAACTGTGTTTTCTGAATAAAAATATGCAATCTACAGTGAATGAAGGAAACACTTCGTAATAAACTGGAGACTAAAATGAATTGTATGAACCGTAATTAGTTTGCTGTAAGGCGTCAAACTATTAACAAGCTGAATAAAATATGATATCGGTGGTAGTTTTGAATGATAGAAAAAGCATGAAACTTGTTTACTGAAGAAAGTAAAACAACTTTGATTGATAGAATGAAGTATGAATAAGCAAAACTCAGTAACAATTTTTGTTCGAATGAAATGATTCTCTTACCATAAATGCGCATCTTTAGTGCACGAACGTTTGTGCCATAGAATTTAAACGGTAATTTCGGAGTGATTTCCTAAAAATATACAAACAAATGAATTAATACCTCCAGTGCAAACTGGGGTCAACTAACCTCACCATTAGCCAATCTTACAAACTTGTCATTTACAACTGGAATTGGCTGATTACTGCGGATTGTCAGGAAATAGTAATAATAGTGAGACTGAAAACGTGTATAAGAATCTGACCGATTACTTACGTATTCATGCAAGCCGTCTTCAAAAATTACTTTTCTATAACTCTGTAGTCCAGGATTCTTACAAATTTCATGACAATCAAAAACATTTGAAATTATTATGATGACCGAATAGAGCAGTATAAACTGGTCAGATGGAAAAGTATATCTGAACAAAACAACGTTATCTCATTAGATCACATTGAAATTCATATAACACGCTCATTCGTCTCAACTGTACAATCAACACTCACCTCATCATATTGTCCAAAGCGATAATAATTGCTGTTAGATCTTGTTGAGTTTATATAGATTTTTAAGTGTTAGTTTGTTTCTTTCTGATTGGATGGTTCAAAATGTGATCATTTAGACGATCAAAATTCATAAAATCATACGATCATTGTCAACCAATCATCATGTTGGTAGATGAAAACATCGTTATGCAATATTCTTCTAGTAAGTTATTGACGCATATAAGCTGACACCGTTCCACTGTTGGTTGAAATTCTTCACCCCTATTGATGATAACCATTTTTGGATATCATTAGTATTACTTTACTTCATTAAGTGACTAGTGAACTTGTAGTTCAAAATGTGTGCTCATAGTTTCACGAACAAACATTTTGTTGCTTTTACTAATCATCTATGAACTGATTGTCAATGATACATTGTTTCTATATATATATATATATATATATATATATATATATATATATATATATATATATATATATATATATATATATATATATATATATTTCTAAATATATTTAGTCTATGCTAAATATAATGAATTAATTAGATGGTGATTGGAAGTAGTCGACAGAAAACCTTGGACCCGTGTTTCGTGCTACTTGGCACTCGTCAGCAAGGTGTACCGGTAATCTTAAGGGAACTGTTCCTCCCTGACGGACCCAATCACGTATTACCCATCTTTACAGTCAGAGACGTAACCACTGAGCCATCTGAGCCGCCACCAACCTCCTGTAGGACTGAAATGTAATTACAATTGATTGATCACTGAGTGGTGACCAACGTCATGTGTGTAAAGTCCTTATTATCAGTGCAGATTAAATGCTATTGACCATGATGCCATGTGGCCACCAGTCGACTGTTGACTCTCTTCAACCACCATCTAGTCTCAAAATAGTGCACGCACAGTCGAGTCATCTAGACTGGTGGCCTCATGGCATCATGGTCAATGGCATTTGACCTGCACCAATAATAATGACTTGACACACATGACATTGGTCAGCACCCAGTGATCAATCAATTGTGATAATGAATTAATTATTGATGAATGAATGACAGCCTACAATTTCGTAAATCATTAGTAATTTCAGTGAAAGAAACCAAAACTATTTATGTTTTGATTTGATTTGCAAAGAGTAATTATTCGTATTGTGAAGGGTAATTATGCACTTTAAAATGTTGTCGACAATGAATAACATTTTAGATCATCGTGTATTACAGTATGTAGTTGAATGAACGGTTCATCAGTATTAGAATTATCTTCAATTGTACATGAAATTGTGCCACTAATCTTTGGTCTGTTAGCACATGATTATTCATTTTTCTTCTTCTTCCTCTTCTTCTTCTTCTTCTTCTTCTTCTTCTTCTTTTGCTTATTATTATTATGAGTATAAGTAGTAGAAAGGCTTATGTAATCATATAAGTTATTCACTAGGGCTTGATAAGAATACACCTGAGTGTTAGGCCAGTTATTGATATCCATGGAAATCCTGTTGATTGGATTATTGAACTAATCTCATAGAATCATTGTCAATTTCTCATAGGATAAGTCCACATTGGTGTCGATTGAAATTTGATGATTTTCACATGATGATTAGGTTTAATAAACATTTCAAGTTTATAAATTATTTTATTCAGTGTTCATTGAATTCTATTCAGTATGAAGAGAGTTCATTTTCAGTAATAAAAACCATATATTGATGACATGTTTCTATTCACTAAGATAACAAATGATGCATATCAGTGAATGCAAAAGTATATTAGTGTACAGGTGAATACACAAGGGTCAGTAATGACAGAGCTGAACTTATTATTCGCTTTTTCATTCATCACCAGAGTACAACACGAATTTTTCGAATCTCCTATTTTTTCTGCACAGCATACATTCAATGTGCTGCACTAATTTCGAGAACTGCCATGTTGTATCATCTCATTTCAGCAACATTTGGGACATAGACATCGTGACTACCAAAGAATTTCAGCATTGACGAAGTGGCTTTATAATTCTTTAAAATGATGATCTTGCATAATTCGCTATGTTGAATTGGTATGATGTTAATGACATTTTCTGGTCAGCAATTATTCAACGAATTCGGTTTACAGGTGTTGGAGTTGGTGACTACAAGCCCAACCTGTATACTTTATCCGGGCTTGGGACCAGCAGTAACCGAAGAAGGGCTACAGGCGGAGTTTTCGCAATATCTTAATCTGCTAAATATATTTTACTCATTCATTACAAATACTTATCATAAATTAGATTCCGTTGATCGAAGGACTGTCTGGTCTGCATGGATAACTAATGGATTTCGATCGATTACAACGGTTCGCATCACACTTTCAGACATTATAAATTCATATTATTAAGTGCTAAACTGGACGTATGCAAAATCATGAAACCAGTTAACGTCAATTAGCTCTAACATGGCTGCAATAATATTGATACATCGACAGAGTTGTGTAAGGAAATACAACAGCAAAATGTTTAAACAAAGTATAAAGGAACAATTAGTTTATACAAACACTACTGGCTTCCAATTAGTTTACATTTAAGAATAAGTTTTGACAAACTGAGAATTTTGTCCGATACACACACAACATCAACGTCTATCGTTTCTCTTACTTCCTACACAATTTTCAAAGTAAAATTTATGATTTCTTATGTTCAGTGTAAATTATTTGAGTATTTAGTTAATGAGCATATTTCTTTTGAACTCAAGTGTCTACACAAACATCATTTATTATACTTTATTGTTTTTGTCTATCACCTCACTATATCTCTTTCTTCAAACAATATGGTATTCTCTTTACTGTATGCTGTATAGTGGGCGTAATAAGAATTATAATTAGAATAGAACTTATCGCATTCCAATGATGTGCTTATGTGACTTACCTTCACCTACATACAATCACGGAACTAAAATGAGTGAATTTCTTAAATATAAAACGGAGTGAAAACAAATAATTTGGCTGTGAATTCATAGAAAGTCTCACTCTAACTATGAATGAACACTGTGACCATTTGCCATCTAATTTCAGGTGACTTTAGTCGTCGTTTACCTACAGAATCATTTGGTTTTCACGTTCTTTAAAATTAACAGAATGAAATATTAAGAGTATTGACTGAAATCAAATTAGTGAATAACTATTGTATGGTGGTAAATAATTTGATCACCCCAAAATTTATAAGTGTGGGGCTATGGAGATTGTCATATTTTTGATTGAGATCATGAATCGATGAATGTCATACCACCATTGAGAACCTGGAATCGTCAATCGGTCATCTCGACACAGTACGGAGCTCACCAGCAGTGTGATTTGAATCCCGGACTATCGGTCATACGTGCAAACACTTAATCTGTATACCATTGAGTCGGCCGGCATCCAACGGTTTTAATGTCTAATTTTAACTAATCCACGATATTGTGCGACTGTCCACCATTACTCTCAGTGAGTAAGTGCATTGCAATACACAAGGATGAAATTCACTGATCACGACTTCTCACTAGAACTCTATCGAATCCATGTTGAAACCAATTACATGTCATCACATGAAGTGGAGTCCCATATAAGGACGAAACGGTTGTACGGTGCATTCAGGTTTTCAATGTTGGTCAATTTTTGATCTACTCGTGAATTCAACTAATAAATTACTTCAATCTCCATAAACCCACATTGTTGTACGTTGATTTTGAATCGGTAAAATCAAGAAATTGATGGTTATTAATCATCCTCAAATTTTTCTCTTACTCCTTGGTTACCACGTAACCTCATTTGGTAATTACAGTCTCAAATCACTTTATGACGCAATCTCTTCTATCCTTCTATTAATATACATTTTCCATATAACGAATGTATAGCTTGAATAAGTGATTTTGTCTAAAGGTAAATTTCCGTCGCTCAATTCTCCTTAATATATTTACTCAATGGCGTACCGTGTTATTTTTTTTATTTCAAGAATATTTCTTATTATTAAATTATAACACTGACGAAAACTTTCAGCCTCTTAATTGAATGAGGCGATTCAAGAGTTGTGAAATCAGTCCTCATCCTATTCAAAAAGTATAAATTATTACTATTGTTAGCAAAGATGGATAGTGGTTATTAGTGGAATCCACTTTGACGTTCGATTCGTCCTATTTGGGACACGTCACCTGAATGTACCTGTATTTCTGAATGAATTTTTAACTTTACCTCACATCACAAGCGATTGGATATCTGGACTCAGTAGCCAGGTGGTGTTTGAAGGCAACGATACTAGGCTCGAATCCTAGAGTGAAAAGCGATGTGCTCGAAAGATGTGCTCAATAAATTTATCATCAGTACTTAACCAGCTAGAAAACAGTCTGTGTAACTGGACAGTTTTTGCTATGAAAATGATGACAAAATCTATGGTAACAATAACCAACTTTTACTGATTACTTTGAATGTATTTCCAATGGCTCTTATCAATGGTATTGAGATTTCCCTTTAAGAAAAAAAGAAAAAAACTAGGAATTTAAAAGTTCATTTATGATTTTGATTAACTCGTTCATACATAATTTATATTTATCGATTATTTTCATGTTTTATTTCAACTTGTTTTAATCTTACTTCTTGTTCTTCTTACTTTCATCAATTTGTTTTTATTAGATAGTGGTTGGAGGTAGTCGACAAGAAACCCTGGACCTGGGTTTCACGGCACTTGGCACTCGTCAGCAAGGTGTAATTGTAATTTTATAGGAACTGGTGGCCACATTGCAACATGGTCGATAGCATTTGATCTGCACTAATAAGGAGTAGACACGCGTGACATTGATCACCACCCAGTGATCAGTCAGTCGTGACTTGTTCTTATTTCATAGTTGACGATCAGGTATTTTGATTAGTCTATGTTTGTATAAGAACAAAAGTATTCAATATTTAATATCAATGATATTCTTTATTCCGGTTATACTTTCCATTCCTTATTGTTAGACAAATTCGGAAAGTCAACTACATACATTTAACTTATAACCTATAACTAAGATGACA